TTTATTTATGTGCATGTTATAATATTTTTGTCTGTTTTATTCTTCCTTTGTATTTTTTTTTACCTTAGTTATTTCTTCGCCGCTATTTATTTCTGTCTGCCTTTTTTAAAGAAAGAAGCTAATTAAAAGAGTTATATACATTTATGTCTCACTGTATCATTTAATTTATACTTACATTTATTTGTTTATTGTATTTTTGTTGGCAATTAATTGTATGCTTATTTATTTATTGAGCATTTATTTATCTCTGTATTTATTTTTAAATATGGCAGAGTTGGTCCTCCATAGATATGAGAAAAAAAGTCAGAATTCGGACTTTAATCTCAGATTTTTGACCAACATTTCCCAATATTAAACTGAAATAAAATTTTAAAATCTGTTGTTTTTTTTTCTGGTGGCCCTAATCCTCTTCCGTAAAATGCAAAGGTCCAGTCTTTTATTTTTATTTTGCACTTTGTAGATGTTTTATCAGAGACATGAATAATGGATTCATGACTTTTATTTTTAAAGCATATTTTAAAGCATATTTTGCCATTTGTAGATATTTTATCATAGACATTAATAATAAATCCATGTTTGTGTTTTTAAGTTCCGGGGGCGGGGCTCCCTAAGATAGAAGAGGCGGGGCTCCTATATATGGAGGGGGCGGGGCTAATGAACTTCTCCTCCACAGTCTTTGCGCACCAAAGGGTTTGTCTCTCTGCCTTTTACTACAGTTTAAACGTGAACAGACGCAGAGAGAGAAGCAGCTGAAGAAGCAGATCCTACTTTCCACTTCTGCTTTTATCTGTTTTGATTTTTTTTCTTGAATTCAACCTTCCTGGCGGCCATGGAGAGGCGAAGGACATCAGTTTGGGAGAGAAAGGGCATGATTTGGATTTTCTGTTTTCTGTTTGCTGTCTCTGTAGGTAAGCAGTAAATCCCTCTGATATCTGACACTAGATGCTCACTACAGGACACACTTTAACTGACCGTAAACTAAAGTTATTTTAAGATGTTTTATTGCTGTTTTTTCCTTCAGAAACTTTTAAACTCTGTTTATTGTGGCTGTAACTCTCCAGCAGTCTGCTGACAGCTCCATCCAGCTGTAATTTGATGATTTTAACCACTTTTTTCCCCCTTCCTCCTCCTCCTCATCTTCTCTGAAGCTTTATTTTTTACAAACAGCTGCAGAGGATCACAGCTCATGCAGGAGCGCTTCTGTAAAACCTCTGAGGTGAAAACATTTTCCACATTTCTCGGGTTGCTGCTGTTGTTTTGAGGCAGAACATCTGGCGGCTTCAGGGGCCCCTCCCTGCGGGGAAAGTCACTCCAAAAACACGCGACTCTTTGGGGCCAGTTTGTTTTCTTTCTTTTTTTTTATTCAGATTTAAATGTCTAGAAATAATGTTTGCAAACAAACAAACAAGGATAATTGCGGAGATCTTGAATGGAAAGTGCTGCTTGATGTCTGTAGGATTGTGCGCGTTTGGATGAGTCTGGAGGAGACGCAGCTGGTGCCTCAGCAGGCGCTGGGTTATCACTTCTAGGCTTCACGGTTAAGTCTATTTAGATATGCAAACTCAAAAGGTCAGTGAAAAGAGGCGATTAGCTGCTTTTACCAGAAATCCGGGGCAAAAAAAAGGTATATTTTTAGTAAAAATGGCCAATAAGAGGCTGGATATCAAATACTAGGGCGCATTTAAAGGGATTTAATCAGATATTGGCATAATCTAAATTGCCCCCACTGTTTAATGCCCTCCTTCCAACATTACACCCCCATTCTCACTAATGTTGTCCTGTCATTTCACACCATTTCACTCTCCTGAAAAAGAAAAACAAGTCGAATGAAAAAATCCTCATTAAAGAGCCTCCTTTCTCTTCTGTAACATTATATTTCAGAGCAGCTGCCATGTAATGCTGAGCTATTTCTATATGGGACAGATATGGTATAAATAATGGAGCCCAGATGTGACTCTCTGTAGGAAACAGAAAGGCCCCTTGATTATGAACCATGTAAGCTATGGTTGGATTGACAACACTAGGTGATTCTTTCTGTATCGCTTCTGTCTCCTTGAACCCCAGTCGCTCACACTAAGCCTGGTTCTGCTGGAGGTTTCTTCCTGTTAAAATTGAGTTTTTCCTCTCCACTGTCGCTACAAGCATGCTTTGTGTGAGGGATTGCTGAAGAGTCAATGAGTCGATGCAATCAACTGGTTTTCCTTAGATAGAAAACTCTGAATCAATCTGATTGGATGATCTGGTTAATATTATGACGTGTTGTGATAAATAATAAATATAGAAATAAAGTGAATTGAGTTGATAAAGTAGATCCTAGTCGTGTTGCACAGTTTCACATCTTATTGCCAGTCCAGGATCTTGATAAGACTTAAGACATGAACAGGACCAGACCAACCATGTGTGAACTTTTAACCACCATCATTGTTCATGCTTTAAAAGAACCAGGTTTAAAAGTGTAATCTATTTAAATTAAACTGCTACTGATTATATTATATCCAAACAACACTTTACCGCCATCTAGTGGTCTGGGTTGATGCTAATTGCTGTATTTAAGTCCACAAGAAAAAAAATAGTTTCATTTTTTTAGGTAACTTTGGTCTCACAGCTTGTTTCAAATCCTCTTAGCAGAAGTTTTTTTTTTTCTTGTTTGTTGTCTGACTTTTATGTTACTAGTTAGAAAAGTGGGCGGGGAAAGGTGGGAGGAAACGTGATGTCACAGCAGGAGTGTCCTTTACGGACTTCCGTACGTCAGCCCTACGCTACACATTCTCCTGACTAGAACAGACTTTTAAATTGAGAAAACCAGAACATGTATCTGGATGTTAGACAGGAAGTAAGCATGTTGACATAGTTGGCTAAGAAAAGGTTTGCACACAACAAAAAAAAAGGAAAGTCCTACTTTAAATGGTGTTAATTATTAATATCTTTCTGGACTTTGTAGACAAAGAAAAGCCACAGAAACAACATTTGTAGGCTGTAATAAAATTATTATTTGGTGAAAACCTTAATTAGAGGGTTCAGAACTGTGAACACGTTCTCTACACTGGAAAAACGATCTAGAAATAAGTTAAATGTCCTAAATTAAGTGTATTTA